ATAACCCGCGGCGTGCCGTGTTATTTTCCTAACCCGCCAAATGAGTTTTATACTGCTGCACTGAAGAAAATTAGTATAAATTCAAGACTCGTGTTCTCATATATAAGCAAGAGTATATAATCTCATGTGAAGATAAAACTCGCTTACGTGAAGAAATGTTTATATAGTTCCACTAAAAATATCATATTCTTGTTATCCAGGTGTAATTTTTATGAATTGAAAGGAAACAAAATATCGGATGGAAACGATATCGTCGAATTAAGAAGTGTATTAGTTTGAAAAAATATCGTTCTTTCTATCCAATTTTTCCTCTTGATTCTTGAAAATTATTCTTGAATAACAAGAATATATTTTTAATGGAACTATATAGAATTTCTTACTGTAAGCAAGTTTTTTACATAAGATTATATTCTTGCTTATACATAAGAATATGAATCTTGAATTGATACTAATTTTTTCCGTATAATTTAATTAATGGGAAATCGTTGAATCACTACATCTGCGTGTAACCAGTAGTATAAAAATAATTTGACAGGCCGTAGAAAATAATATAATGAACCAGAAATTCGCCAGACTTATTTTAAAGTGCTCGAATCCGTTGTTTGACCATTGGGTCATCATCTGCAATTATCTGGTCGGAACGATTATCGTGTAACTTTGAATTTAATTTAACAAGCGCTCCGTACTTTCGCATCTTCGTATCCGACGGAACGATTTTTGGATGAAATTTTGGATATTGTTTGAAATTGTAAACAGTATTTAGTATGAACAACGTAGTTAACACAATGCAGTTAAGTGCCGCAGTTGGTGGACCATCGGTGACCTGCACATATAATAGCCAACTTGCAAGAAATTGTTCTAAAAGAGTAATAACATTTTATGATGATTGTTCCAATAAATCTCATCTGTGTTTAATCTATTTTAACAAAAAACATCTCTTTATATCTCTTTAAATATAAATGTATCATTTAAATAAAAATATACAAATGTTTTGTTCTACAGAGCACGATTGTATGTTACCTCTTCCTGTTCATAAAAACGATTTTTGTAGTCTTATAAATATTATAAGAGAAACGTATCTTTCATAAAAATCTTATATATGATAAATGCGATAAAACATGGATCATCGGTGACCCGTGTAGCGTGAGTGGGTAGTCATGTAAAATTGATGCAGCACTCAACGTGTTAATCACCGGTCGATGAAATTACATCCAAACCTTGTGCACGTAATATGATTTTGCCTTTTCGAGATATATATACACGTATTGCAAGTGTTCTCTCGCTTTTCCTCGAGAAAATCGTGATTCCTATAACGCGAAGGATGGATATCCGAACTGATCTCATAACGAAGTCTACGGGGAGTTAAGTTTACAACGTTCCTTCGACACACCGACGTTCCCGTTCACTTGCGCGCTTGCCTCCATCCACCCTCACCTTCTCGCAATCTGAACAGAGCCTTATTGTGCACGGTCTTCTCGCTAAACCCCGGAAGGAGGCTTGGATGTAGGTGTGTTGTACCGTCGCGTCCCGAGTGTAATTTTATTATCTCTCGTGCCCCTTTCCGACGCTCCATCACCCTGTGAAGTCTCTCCTTCGCTCTCGTCGCCATCGCGCGCTGTTATTTAAGCAGTATTTTACCTTTAGTCTTTTTTCACCCCACCGCTCTCCCGCTTCGCTCCTCCACCACCCCACCCTTCCCAACCCCTTGTCCGTGGTCCTCGTCATCCCGTCTCGGCTTCCTTTTACCGAGGAGAGCCCGCCGTCTCGTACCTACGCTACGGTGAAATTATGCAGAGAAGGCGACGATGGCTATCTCGCCGTACAACCGGCGCTTTTCTTCATCGTTGCCGCGACGCCTTGTATTCCCTTCGAGACGCCCCTTCTCGCCTTACTCCGAGAAGTGTGTCTCGCGTGGATAAGGCTACTGCCGGTAGTTCGCGGAGTTTACACCTCCCGGACGATTGCGCGGAGAAACGTTCTGAAGCCGGGAAATCGCGGCGTTATATGGCTGGTAAAAAAAAAAAAAGAGTGACGAGAGAGACGAGAGACGTATTTTCTCCGGCGAACGCGCTCGTCCTATTTTCCCTCTTATGAGCGTTTTCCGCGGATCGACGACGTGCGATTAGTTAGAGAGGCATCGATGACGCGAGTTTTGGTTCCTACGTGAACTCTGTCGCGAATTCCGTCGAACTTGACGGGCCGAGGGATAATTTTGAGATATAACATTATGCAAGAGCTATTGTTATCCCTTTAACCCCGGCAGTCGTCGCTGTGGGTCACGGTGACCCGCACACATCTCTTACGCATGACAGCTTCAGTCGGACTTAGTGATGGCTGTCGTGCTATGTAGAGGGTAGGGACTTGGGAGGGTACATCTGTACCTCCATACTCCGTACCGGCGGGAGGGGTATCACAATTGGTAGTGGCAAGACAGACAAAGACATATTGGCGCGGATCACCATGACCTGTACAGCGACAATTCTCGGATTAATGTTATAAATTTATCGTCCGTCTTCTCCACGTTGACGCTTGAAGAAAAGAACATATTTCAGAATGATTTAATATTCAGTCATCCCAATGTTCTATCTGTATTTAATATTTTCTCTGTTTTCATGAGCTATCAATTATGTATCTTATTCGGCTGCAGATGGAATATGCGCGATGAGAAAATATTAAATAATGAAAATGTGGATTAAACAGATAATGGATTTCACGAGGGAACGAAAGCACAAATTTCTCATAATTAGTCTATTGATATTGTTTATCGGAAATTTTAACATGAAGATTTGAAGATTGAAAAGGAGCGGAAGAAAAGAATAAGGATAAAGATAGTAGTTGAGTGCACAGTAGTATTGTGCACAAATGGAGATTTAAATTTGAACTCGATGCAATAATGGAAATCCTTTAAATGGAAGTGTTCAGATGGGATTAATTAATTGTTAAATTTAAAAGGACACTTGCGGAATATTTCGAGGAAGTTAACCAACGAACTTGTATATTGGTTATTGTTTAATGGACGACGACAATTGGCGATTAGCGGGACATGACTTTGACCTTTTTGCTGATTGTTTTGGTACTGTCGTACGTCGTGTATTTTCTCTGCAGAGGACCGCTGGCGATGAACGGGAGATAACGTAGCTCATATTGCTGTTTGGTTTAGTATTCTCATGCCTTGCGGACGTTTCCGTGACCGAGTCATTGCGTCTCCGAGCGACGTACCGCGACGCGGAGCACGTGTATCGGTTAAAGTGAGTTATCATTCCCATCGGGTGTTTGAAATATTCCCTTAACTTCTGGAACATTTAATCAGAGTATCGTCGACGTCGCGCTAATTCACACGTGTTTCTCCGATCAAATCGTATTTACGCGAGAGTTAGTGCTACAAGTGGATATTCGGAAAACAGGATGGAGGACGCAGGACGCCGATGACAATATATAGTATAATTATAGATATGTCAAATTATTTAGTATGCGTAATATTTCCGATTTTCATGAACGTTTAACGAGCTTACCGAGGATGAAGAGTTGATTAATAGTGCTATGAATTATTCGACTACTCCGAGTCTCTCGGTAACTCAGCATACGGCTAATTTCAGACGTTGTAATTTATTGACGTTATAAATTATTGATTTTTCCAACGATGATAGATAATAATAACGTCTGAGATTAACAATATATTCAGTCACTGGAAGACTCGGATACGCGGGCTACTTGAAATTGATAAGCACTAATTAATATAGAGTCAAAATTTCGACTCGAACTGCGAATATCGACGGGAACTTACCGTGTCTCAGAATTTCAATTATCGTCGCGAAGCGAGAAACAAAAATTCTGCTGATAAATCGTATTCTTTGCAGCGTAAAAAACGTATTATTTATTTTCGTGAATGTCTATTATCGGACGACTGTTGAAAATAACGGAATATGGTGCGCAAATCGTTTGTTTTATTACTTGTCTGCTCAAGATGGGAGTAACGATCAATGGGTAGGATTAATTAAAACAGACGCGTTGAAACTTTCCGCAAAAATATCATCATGACGCTTTTCGAGGGTGCCGCACTCATATATTTGCATATTCAATATTTATGCGAATACATCCCTTTCTCTTTAATGAATAAAACATTCCGTAAGAGATGAGCGGGCTGAAGGAGTGAGCGTAAACCTATGTTATTAATTAAAGATTAGTCGAAAGAGAGCTTGTTTCGAGAGACCGGTGACCCCCGCCCCCTTCCCCATGAAACGTGTGTGTGACTCGTTGGGCGGTTGCGGATTCATAAATTTTCAACGGTGGAGCTCATGCTCACGCGAGACCCTCGTACAGTTTGTTTTGCTTTCCAATTGCTTTCCAATCCGTTACAGGGTGTCTACGATATTTACTTTATAAATTCCGGTGTGTCTTTGGTGGCGAGGATCTGGGCAAAGAATCGCTTGTCCGTCCTTCTGTTATTTCTCACTTAGCGGCCTCGTAATGTGCGAAAGTTTTCGCCACTTTCATCCGCTCACGAATCCACGTTATTTGCTCTTTCGCCAAGGCAATTACGGCTGGCCGAATTTTCGATATTTTCGCTTAAAAGGACTCACTGTGGGGACTACCATTAATCTGGCGGAGGTATGGTAGTCTGTACGATTGATGAGATATATACACGGTGAGGCGATAATTTTTACCACCTTGAATATCTTCGAGAAATAAAAATATTGTATTAACGACTGGATAAAAAAAGTTTATACACTTACGAAAGGTGTTTGAAGTGATGACCGTTGTTATATCAATGCAAAATTTCCGTTGGATACATTTTTTCCTACTCTTATATTTCGATGATAATAAAAATGGTAATAGTTATTGTCTCATCCTATGTAAATAACTGGTAAAAATAAAACAGCGATACAGATATGGTGGTTAATTATCGATTGTCGAGTGTGTGCACGATGTTGGAAAAAAAAATTTCTTTTGTGACGTACGTAAGGCGGGCGTCGAATCGGGGCGGCGGTTGATGTACTTACAGTGCACGTGCAACATCATTCGTTTGCTGACTGTCGGAGGCACTCCGTTGCTGGCGATGCACAGGTAGGCGCCCATCTCGCCTCTCGTTACTTTCGACAAAGTCAGCGTTTCGCCCTCTGCAGTGGGTACTGCAATATGCAAGCGCGAGGAACGCTCTCAGAAGTTAGCTCGTTACACGTAATCAAAGTGTACAACATTAATACCCGATCGGCTTAACTTGCGCCGCTCATAAACGTTCACGTGGAAATTCACCGTTATTGCATTTAGTTTATTTCCTGCCCCATTTGATTCATCGCGGATGCGACGCGTCTCGATTTGATGAGCGGCTCGCGACGTTGGACGTCGTCGGAGTTAATTTCGAGAGTGGAGACCCGAGTTGAAATTTTGATGCTATTTTGATACTCTCAAAGATAGTTTGCGTCTACTTTAGATGGCCTGTAGACTAATAACAACTTACTTTGACGATATTTACTCTAATTAACTCCTCTTTTGAGCCTTTAATTCTATAGCTTTTATTTTTAATGCTATTTTGAATTACATTTCTTTCGAGGTTAAAACAACGAAAACGGGAATTTGAGGTATCATCAGGGTCAATTTTGGAGATAATTATATTATTAGAATTGAAATGGAACTTATTTTGCTATTCCAGCGCTTATTGTGTCTTAGAATTAACGGTTTAATACAGGTTTAATACAGGGTTGAAATTTCGTCGAGGCGCTAGCCAGCTGAATTTTTAATTTTGAAATTTTTTAATTATATATTTATTTATATATATTTTTAATTTTGAGTCTGAACTTTCGTCGAAGCGAAATCCGGCTGTTTCGCCGAGAACGTTATCGGTGGAAAATTCGAAAATCGCCGATTTCGATGCTCCTGACATGTGAGCGACGGCCGGTTCAGTTTGTAAGGTTATATCCCGGGCGCGCACTACTCCGACGGGATCGATTTTAATTGCGTCGGCAGTTTCAGCTTCGGTAAAAAAAAGGCCGATGTTGTAGCGCCGCGGCCGTATCGCTCCCCCGAGATGCGAAAGCGACTCGTTGCGAAATAAAACTTTGAGTCCTCACGTTTTGTCTTGCCGCCGGAGAGGCCGGTACGCGAAATGATTTCGGTGCCGTCTTCCCGCCTCCACATGATCTCGGGCTTGGGGTAGCCGCGCGCTTTGCACACCAGCTTCGCGGCCCCTCCCTCGGGAACCATCAGGTCGTTCGTGGTCTCCTCCGAGATGATGTCTGGCGGTATTACCACCTCCAAAAACGCGCTCTGCAAATGCAGGGGGAGATTAATTATAACGCGTCCGTGTATGTGTGTGCGTATGTATATTAGGCTCGGCGAAGAGGGAGTCCACATTGTTACGAGATACACGACGAAATCGGCGGCCGGATTAAACCGGCGAATCCCGAGTTCGAGGTCACGATTGTAAATTCGATAGTAAATTTCAAGTAACTTCCGCGAGTTATTTCGAATTTAACATCGAGTTACAGGAGTTCTCCATTACGCTCGATATGCGATGATCATCGGTTTTCTGATGCCTTTCCTCGAAAGCCCGTAGTCTCAGGAATATTCGTTCGTGGATCTCGCGGCGGGTTTCGTGAGACGGACGCGTTTTCTCCCCGTGCTCGATTTTTCATGCGGGGTAATACGTGATACCACGTACCTGGCTTTTCATGGGATCCGTGTTGACCTGACACATGTAAATCCCGCGATCCTCCCGCCGCGCTCCGCGAATGTGCAACGTCCACGTGTTGTAGTCGCTGTGAGTTACCGACAGGCGGGCGTTGTTCGTGATCACGTGCTCGTGAATCGCCAGGATCGCCTTGGTATCCGCTTTGATCCACGCCACCTGGCCTCACAAACCCATTTCTTAAAAGGCGGAATTTTCTCGCGCGACTCGGTTCCGCTCCTCCGTCCTCGCGCATTTCGCTTAATCTCATCGCTACGCGCGTCAATTAACATTCGTCGGCTAATCGCTATTTCGCTTTCGTTGCGAGCTCTAATCGGCGTTTTCGTCAGGCAGATACTTTGCGCAATCACGCGTCGAGCTAGACTTTGAAACTTCACAGTTTCGGCTGTCTCGCATTCGCATCAAATCTATCGGTATCAAATAAGAGACATCGAGCTTTTCTATATCCTTTTAGCGTAAAAGAAACTCGAGATCATTTTCTAGTTAATTCAGTTCGATCGTATTAAGAAAGACTGCTCCTTCTTAATCTAACCAAATAAAGAATTTTAATGAGCCTTTAAGAGCAAAGCACGCATGTCTTATAATGCCGTTAGAATATTAATATTGTCCGTATTAATATCTTATTTATGGAAGGATAAAATTGTTCAGCGTGTAACGCATATTGAGAAAAAGAAATTGAAATTTTGCGAAGTAAATGTTTCTCGTGACATTTTCTTCGGAATTTACTGGTTAGAAAAAAATATATGACAGTGACGACGGAATATATATTTTTGCGAAATATACTTAAGTTTTCTTATTAATTGGTTTATTCGTTAAGAATAAAATTTTATTTCGCCGTATGCAGCACGTGTGCGTTACACGTTGAACAATTTTATCCTCCCACAAACAATGTTAATACTGACAATATTAATATTTTAATGGCACTATGATATCCGTGTTTTGCTCCTAAAAGCCCGTTGAGATTCTTCAATCCGATCGATATGATTTAATTAATTGATCGCGACAGCGACAGCTTTTACTCTTCCAATTGCAAAGAAGATCCAAAAAGTGCGACATTTGGACGGAAATGATACATCGAGTACCTCGTAATGCGATACACGAAGATACCGAAAGCTTCGATGCGTCTTTTAAAGTAATCAGGACACAGTCCCGGGATTGTCCTGCGCGCTGGCGCAGAGTCGAAATTGCTCCTAATCCGAAAAGGATATTTCCCATCGCTTTCGTCGATTTTCTCGGTTGCCGCTGAAATATTCGTGGGTACGATCTTAAGCTTCCTGTCACGATTCGAATGCGAACTCGATTACGATAACGTCCGCGAGAAAGAGAGATGCGGGATTCTTTCTATTCGCGAATGAATGAAATATTCGTACATCGTCTTCGGAGGGAATCAGAAGCTCGTATTCCGTGGAAGAATCTTCTCTTTACGGCGAAGTCTGCCGCGGCTCTTTCATATCCCTCGACAGGACGGAACTCTCTGCCGTTACGCGCCGCGACCTTCTGCCACTGTGTAAATATGAAGAATTCCACGGGCAAAAACACGATAACCCGAGGAACGTAACTTTTCAGGGGGGGAAAAAAACAAATAAAAAGAAAGCAGCGACGAGATAACAGTTAGTAGCAAAGTTCAAGCGCGCTCCACTCTCTCGCAGGATGTAACGTTATGTTTACATTAAACGCGAGAAGCCTCGGGAGCTTAGATACGAAAATAGCGGAAAGATGAAAGAAACAGCAGAAAATAGAGGAGAAACGGAAAAAATAGAAATCGACGTTGACGAGAGAGAGAGAGCGTCTTTCATCCGTGTGATCATCGTATTGGATATAATTTATCACGAATTCTTTGCGCACCCGTAAATGTTCTGCAAGTTATATTACTTCCAAAGTAATTATCGTGACTATCCTCTAAATGTGGGTTACCGCGTTTTCGCTTCGCAACCCTACGTATCATCAACGCTAAATTGAACTCCCACCGGTTATTGCGGTCCGCCAAGCCGCTGATATACGCCCATTAATTAAACCCCATTTTTTATGGATTAAAATCAATGGAAGAGGGGGGGGGGAGAGCCCGGGAAGAGAGGAGAGAGAAAAAGGAGGCGAGGAAAGCGCAATTTTGACCAGTTAACATATATTAGTCGGAATTCGTGGCTCCGCGGTCCCGACCGAAGTTATCCCTGACGGGGGAGGAAACTGCAGCTTCCGAGCATTGCGAATATTCATCCTCCCCCTTCGCCGTCCGTCTTCGCTCGCCCGCCCCCTCCCTCCGTCCTTGCTTCTGCACAGATATTATTGGCATGAAATTGAACCCGTACCTCGTCGAATATTTGACCTCGCATCGCTCTGAAAGGCTATCTATCAACCGACAAAGGAGCTCCGCGGTTCTTATCGATAACTCGCGAGCGGAGCGTATGGAGGGCAGACGCGCAGGATAGGAGGTTAGAGGGGGGAGGGGCAGTGGGGTTGGCGGGATGGTGCGAGTGTTTGGTAGTGACGGCCCTGTGAGTGCCTCCACTTATAATACATTATGCCGAAGTATAGCGTGCGACCCCATTCTCCTTTTCGGTGCGCCCTCCGATTTTGCGAGGGTGGCGGGCCACCAGCCCTCCCGAAAAAGAAGGATCGGAAAAGTCGCCGCGGGCGACAGACGCTCGCAGCCCCTCGAACGTTTGCGCTACACTTTTGGCCGTGTCCAAGCATCGATTCGTTCGTCGATATAATTAATCGCGCCGGATCGGGAGGGAAGGGTTTGCTAAAAATGCCTGCCGTGCGGAGTTCTGTACTCGGGGATGGTTTCTCAGATTCTCGTGAATTCCCGGTCGATAGGTTCCGAAGCGATGTGAAGGTAGCGGAAATTAAAGACGCGAAAATAAAAAAAAACAAGGGAATAAGAAGGAAGCGGAAGGTGCGGAGTGAAATTTTTCCCGGAAAGTCGGTCGGATTGTATCGGGAAAGTGGAGTATATACCGGATTCTCGCGACGGGAGAGAGGCGAACTCTCTACGAGAGAGAATTTTTAAAAGAAGAAAAAGCCCGACGAATCGCGAGGGAGGACCGAGGTACAGAACGCTGTGAAATATTACGCGTACATTAGCGAGCGGATGTACACGGAAAAACACAACTCCGTTAGTGTAACCGAATTTTCCGTTACCTGAGAAGAATGGGGACCAGACGGCAAACTCGATTCCAAAAGCAGAAAGATTTCTATAGGGAGGTTTCTACTCAGTCAATCGTTTTCAGTTATCTCAATGGAGTTTAATACAGCTGAACGTTGAGACGAATGTTTTCGGTCGCGGTAACAGATATTATTTCTCGTCACTGAATCGCTGTCAGTTTCGATTCAGTCACGCGAACACAGATTTTTTTTCCGTGGACGAAAAAAAAACTCCGTCAGTGCAACAGAATTTTCTGTTGTCCAGGAAGAATAGGGATCAGACGGAAAACTCGATTGTAGAAACAGAAGGATTCCTGTAGAAGATTCCTACTCAGTCAGTCGTTTTCAGTTATCTCAATCGAGTTTTAACCTTTTAGCTACGGCGCACTTCAGATGACAAACGGAATGACAGTTGCTAGACGGTCGCTGCGGTGCGTCAGAAAAATCAAATAAATCGATTTTTTATGCGCTGAGCATGTAGTTCATGCGATACATGACGCGATATTCATTTGTTTTTATCGATGCTAAGCAACGTAACAATATGTTCATAAAGACATCATTTTACCTGGAAAATTAATGTCAAGCCAAATTTACCGGGCGTATTAGGATCGACCTCAAATTGTTGTTGTAAGAAGATGGAATGTACGAGGACAACTTACTGTGCGTTGTACCATGCTTGAGCGCGCGATTTCCAGCCCTTTAATTCGTATACTTGAAACGTTTTTTTTTTTTATTCAAAAACTGTAATAACCTCGACGTTCTATGTTAGGATTTTCGTCTCCAGCTCAAGAATCTATCATATTAATTAAATTTGCGAGAACCGGGGTATTTTCTATATGCGCCCTTCGTAGCAAAAAGATTAGTAGAGTTGAATATCTAACTGTTCAGATGAATGTTTTCGGTCTTACGATAATAGAAATACCATTTCTTGCCACCGAATTATTGCCAGATCCTTATTCGGTTACACGAACTGACAAAAGGCTGTTTTTCTTCGTTTGGAGCCAAAAAGTAAATTTTGACACCAATTGACATATTATTCGCAGAGAGGCAAATATTTTCGGCTACAGGCACTTGCCCATTTTCCATTTCAAGCTCCCAAATTTGGAAACATGATGAAATAAACGTTCTTCAAATCTGTATACTTAAACACTCGACTTACGGCATATATAGCACACTGATAGCATACTCTTTCAATTATGAAATTATCTCTCCATTTTATCACTTCGTAGATTGTTGGATTCCGAATTCTGATATGCGATCATCGCTGTCTTCCACACGAATTGCCAAGAATAAATTATAATATATCACTTCGATATATATATTTATACTTCTAAAATGATGGTCCATAAATGCCTTCGAATGACCAAGTAAAGGCACTCGACATAACAAAATAATGGACCAAAATCCCACATTTCTGGAACCCCGATGAATTTGTAGACGCAACCATTACTCTCGGGCATTGATTTAAACATTCTTTATCGATTGGTACGAACGTTTACTCATTTGGCTCCGGGCAAAGAAGAACCGGCCGACCTGGTGAGATATTTTTCCCCGCGTGTGTAAAACCGATCGCGAGAGAGGGAGGGACGGTTTCCGCGCGCGCAGTCTTTATTTCGCCCAACCTCGTGACGGATTCCCCGCGGCCCCGGAATAAGCGATATCAAAACCGTTGTCGGAAGCGACGGAGAACGTATCCATAGCAACGCGCTCGGCATAACGTCGCAGGATAACGTCGCGGGGGCGCGCGCTCGCTCGCGCGCGACGACCACCGGCGCCGGCAGCTCGAAGACGCGCACAATACGGGCTTCTCGTCGCTCCATCCGAAAGTCGGAACTCGAAAGCCGCGCGATCTCGCGATCCCGTTGCGTCCCCAAAAAGGGAAATCCTGTACGCCGAAGCGAAAACCGCCATTTTCCACCCTATCCCGGCGCTTTCCGGCTGGCACGCGGCGTCTCGCGCACATGTCTCGCCGATCGAGGAAAGCCTCGCGAATTTGCAGCACAATGAAGCGAACG